AGGAAAAGGAAAGAGTCAAGCTCTAACCTAAATTCCTTATCCCATATTAGACTCTTCAGCTCTGGCCCTCAACACCAAATATCAAGGAACTAATGAAAAGAAATGCTAGAGAAGGTGGCCTAGCCATACCAGATCTTACACTGTATTATAAAGCAACAATCAACAAAACTACTTGGTACTGGCTAACAAATAGAATGGTGGATCAGTGGAGTACTTTAGTATGGAAGACACAATGACTATAGTGATCTACTCTTTGATAAACCCTAAGACCCCAGCTTCTAGGATAAGAACTCACTATTTAACAAAAACTGGAACACTGGAAAATAGCATGACAGAAACAAGGCATAGACCAACATCTTACACCATACACCATTATAAACCAAATAAAGTCAAAATAGGTACATGATTTAGATACAAAGATTGATGCTATAAAAAACTTGGAGAGCAAGGAATACTTATCTATCAGATCTATGGAGAAGGGAGGAATTTATGACTCAACAGGACACAGAGACATTATGAAGTGCAAAATGAGTGATTTTGATTACATCGAATTGAAAAGGTTTTTTATTGTTTAACATTTTTATTAGTGAGTCAGAAGAAGAGATAGATGAAATGCTTCTCAAATTTGAAGATAATATAAAAGGGTAGTGGACATGTTGGGTTGTAGAATCAGGTACCAAAAAAGTCTTGACAGGCTACAATGATTTACCACATTATATAAGATGAAGTTTAAGAGGCATAATGTAAAGTTCTATATTTGTGTCAACCTCTTCTCTCCTCTTTCCCCTAATCTCATTCTTATGCTTCACTTACAGATTACCTAGCTGCCTATTTCAGTGAGAAAACTGAAGTCAGATGATGTGACCTCACTCCATCCCCTCTGTTTTTCAAAATTTCCTATCATCATTACCACTGTCTTCCTCCTTCCCTCTATCACATAAGAAGAGGTAGCTGTATTCTTCTTCAGTCTCCCTCTTTTTTGGCCTCTTCTCATGTGTCTGTAAAAAAGCTCTGGTTTTCCCAAAACTAAAAGATCCATCCATTGACCCTTCTAACTCAAATTACTATATATTCTGTTTTCTTGGCTCTGCTCAATTTACTTTGCATCACTTCACAAAGATCTTTCCATAGTTCTCTGTACTCATCTCATCATATCATCCCATCAAAGTCAACTTATACTCACACCCTCCCTTACTTTAAGCTCCTTCTAACTGCCCTAATAGAGATACAACTATTAAGAGTTACAAGTATCATCCCCCCCACAGGGATGTAAACAAAATAGTGAATAACTTACATTCTTGCTTTCCTGTTTACCTTTTTATGCCTCTCTTGAGTCTTATATTTGGAAATTGAATTTTCTCTTCAGCTCTGGTTTTTTCAAGAGGAATGTTTGAATGTCTGCTAGTTCATTGAATGTCCGCTTGCCCCCCTGAAAGATTATATTCAGTTTTACTGGGTAGTTGATTCTTGGTTGAAATCCAAGCTCTTTTACCTTCCAGAATACCTTATTCCTCGACCTCTCTTATACTATGTATGTTTACTCGGTGTATACTCTGGCCTTTGGATATCCACAGTGATAGCAGTAACTTAACCCCTAAATGAAAAATGTTTCATTGATGCCCTTTAAGGAAACCAACTGAACCCCTTCTTAATGGAGGGGAAGTCCCCAGGAGCTAGCTTATGGGGCAACACAAACAGGAGGGAGCTCCTAGCTAAAGACCTTCAGCAAATCTTGGTATTTTAGTGAGAATCCCTTCTCTCTGTTCCTGAAGGAAGTCTATCTGGGTGAAACGAAAGTCTTGGGTGACTCCTGAGTGTGTTTAGAGAGCTTTTCCATGGGGAAGCCTACCTTGGCTAGAGCTCCATATAGCACTTGTTTCATATGGACATAACCACAGTAATCCCAATACCACCTCTACAGGCTACAGCATTGCCTGGAACTCTCATACTCATCCACCCATCCCTTAGAATCTTCTGCCTGCCAAATTAGGGAGAGCATGTCCTGCTTCCCAGTCCCACTCCCAGAAGATAGCCTTCTTAAAGCAGCCACCCTCTTAGGGCATAGTGTAGAAAGGCCCTCTCCTGGTTCTGCAGCAATGGACAAAAACAGACACTTTCCAAGGATGCTAAGAAAAATCTACATAATGAAGAAGCACAGAGATTAACACGTCCTCATTAAAAAGGGAGGAGAAGATTGATGGATGTTGTCAAAGTCCATATCAAACAAGTTTCTTGTGGAACACAAAGACGTAACACTTCATTTAATGTTAAAAATCAAGAACGATGTTTTTAATAGCATAGCAAGTGTTCCTAATCTCTAAGCTCCCTGGATGAAAAGCTTGCAACATATAGAGAGACCTAGGGGAAGAACTGAAAACCATGTGGGAACAGCATGAAGAACATGTGACCCCCACAATCCTGTCTCCTCCTAGAATTGTCCTAAAGATGTATTCCTGGAGCCTTCAGCAGATGAATTAACATCCCAATACTTTTATTGAGTTACAAAAGACAGTAATTCTGTGCAATGATCTGAAGAATATTGAACAGAAAAGAATCAATGGCATGATATGTAAACTGCACCAAAAATCTAACAGAGATGAATAATAATGATAAGAAGAAGAAACACTTCTATAGTGCTTCATGGTTTGGAAAGCCATTTGCAGAACATCTCCTTTAAACCTTACAACCACCCTGTAACTTACTTAGCCTAGGTATTATATCACCCCCATTTTACAGATATGAAAACTGAGTTTAGAGAGTTTAAGTGGCTTGCCCATGGCCACAGAATGAGTAAGGCAGACCTTCAGTCTAGGTCTTGTGCCTGCAATTACAGATGTCTCTCCACTGTGCCAATTCACTAATGGGAGGGCAGCTGGTATTGGAGAGAATAAAACCTCAAATCTGAAAGAGTTTTAGAAAGAAATGTATGAGGGGCAGCTAGGTGGTGCAGTGGATAGAGCACCTGACCTGAAGTCAGGAGGACCTGAGTTCAAATCCGGCCTCAGACCAAACACTTGACACTTACTAGCTGTGTGACCCTAGGCAAGTCACTTAACCCCCAATTGCCTGAAAAAAAAAGAAAGAAAGAAATGTATGAGGTCCCTTTGTGGAGGAGACTGGGCCAGAAAGAGGGTGTGGCTCCCTCTTGTCCACGTTCTGGAAGGTTTATGCTATATAGGATTTAGACCAGGGCACCCACACATGAACAGTGGGGGCAGACATGCTGCCTCCCTTGGTACCCCACTCTCCCTCACCCCCCTGCCCAGATCTTTGTCTCCTCTCCCAGGGAGAAAGGAGGCTAAGCCCCGCCCTTTCCTTAGACCTCCCCCCATACACACACACACACACACACACACACACACACACACACACACACACACACTTCTTTCTCTGCTCTGGGGTTGGGAGGAATCCTAGTCCCATTCACTACTGGTTTGCAGATGCTGCTGCAGCTACTGTGCTCCTCCCTTTTGTGGAGCCCAGGACACCCGTCCCTCTGCCTCCCACATCCTCTCTTTGTCCTCCCTCTGCCAGTTTGCATAAAGGGGCAGACAACCCCAAGCTGAGCTCAGCTGTCCCCCACCCAGCACCAGCAGCCTACCCTCAGGAACCTGGGACCCTGGTCAGCCCTTGGGCCACCTCCACATGGAAGATGCACCTGCGGCCCCCTTCCCTAGCTTGTTTGGGTGATGGGGGCAGAAGAAATGACTGGGGGTCCTCCCACTGTTCTGAGCCTGATGTCACACAGCCTTCTCCTCTCCCTCCGCCATTCCCCTCTGCTCTGGGAGGAGACTAGCCCCGCTCTGCTGTGACGTCACTGTGCCCATCCCCTCTCACCTTCTATTACTGGTAAGTCTTTGTCTCTGGAGGAGGATGTGAGTGGAGTAGCTGGAGGTCCGAGTGCCCCCCACCCACTTTCCTTCCCCTCCACACCCCTCCCCTCCGTTACCCCCATCTTCCAGACTGATCGATCCGGAGGGTCCTGCTAGTACCTAATGTCTGTGTGAGGTGAGTGTCCCCTCCCTGTTCCTGCCTCAGTCTCCTCCTTTCTTCTCCTTTTCTTTTCTTCCCTCCCCCACAAAATTTTCATGAAGCCGAGGCCTCCCCCTCCCCATTTTGCTTCGCTGAATGATCAGGAAGTTATTTGTAAGGGGGTGGAAGGTACTGGGAGTATGAATACCTTTGTTTATGCCTGTGTTGTGTCTGTAGGTAGAATCATGTGTGTGTGTGGGGGTGAATGTCTGTGTGAGTGTGTGTACGTGTGTTGTATGGGTGTGTGTACCATGTGTGCCTGCTCCTCCTGGGCTGCTTCTGCCTGAGGCTTCCAGCCTGCCCAGGCCTTTGTCTGGAGGTCTGGTGCTTGGGGGGTGGTGAAATGGAGGCCAGCAGGGAGAAGCTTCTGGGGACATTCCCTCCCTCCCCTCCTCAGGTGGATGTTTCCATCCTTTCTTCCTCCTTTCTTCCTATCCTTGGCTTGACCTTGAGGCTGGGGAGAGAGGACACAGTCCAGGACTCTTCCCTCCCCTTCTCCTGGTCACCTCTTTTGTCTGGTGTCCTTTACTTTAATGGCATATTGATTTTTTGTTCTGCTTCCACCAGGGCCTGGTGAATAGGGCATTTCATCCATGTACCTTGTTGTGGAACAGAAAGAGGGGACTGTTCCTGAATCTGCAGATCTCTATGATTTACAGCTTGAAAGAAGAGAGTTGTTTTAATGTGCACTTCTCTCATTATAAGGGATTTCGAGCGTTTTGGTCTCCCCTTTGTAGAGGACACTGAGCCAGAAAGGAGGGTGTGGTTCCCTCTTGTCCAGGCTCTGGAAGGTTTATATTATGTAGGATTTAGACCAGGGTACCCACACATGAACACAATGCTTCCCTTGGTGCTCCCCTCTCCTTCCACCCCTCCCCGACCAAATCTTTGTCTCCTCTTGGCGGGAGAAAGGAGGCTGAGTCCCACCCCTTCCCCAGACCGGCCCTTTCTTTCTCTGCTGTGGTGAGGGATCCAAGTCCGTTTCACTACTGGTTTGCAGATGCTGCTGTATCTACCGTGCTCTTCCCTTTTGTGGAGCCCAGGGCACCCCTCTCCCCACCTTCCCGTCCCCTCTTTGTCCTCCCCTTCCCAGTTTCTGTAAAGGGGCCGACCCTCAAGAACTCCAAGCTGAGCTCAGCTGCTGCCCCCCATCACAGCCCCAGCAGCCTGCCCTCTGGAACCTGGGACCCCGGTCAGCCCCGGGCCACTTCCAGAAGGAAGATGTGCCTGCGGCCCCCTCCCGTAGCCAGTTTGGGTGATGGGGGCAGAGAGAAGTGTCTGGGGGGGCCCTCCACTGCTCTGGATCAGATATCAGAAACCTCTCCCCTCCCTCCTCCCTTCCCTCTTTTCTCTGGAGGAGGCTAGCCCCGCCCTGCAGTGATATCACTGGGTCAAGGTAGGGGCGGGGAGGCTTCTACCTTCTATTAAGTGTGAGAGTTTCTTTGTCTCTGGAGGAGGATGTGAGTAGGATGGGCAGCTAGACGTCTGCTTGCCCCTCATCCACTTCCCTTCCCTTTCCCCTCCACGCCCGTCCCCTCCGTTACCCCCGTCTTCCAGACTGACGGATCCTGAGGGTCCTACTAATGCCTACGGTGTCTGTGAGTCAGGTAAGTGCCCCCTCCCCTGCTCCTGCCTCAGCTTCTCCCTTTCTTCTCCTTCTCTTCCCTTCTCTTCCCCACCCCCCACCTTTTCATAAATCGGACCCTAGACCTTCCCCAATTAGTGCTCGGGAGGATGTGTGTAAAGGTGGGTGGAAGATCCTGGGAGTATCAGTATTTTTGTTTATGCCTGTGTTGTGTATGTAGGTAGGATAATCTGTGTGTGCCTGTGTGTGACAGCAGGAGCAGTGTGCCTGTGTGGGTGGGTGCTTCTGTGCCTGCTCCCCAGGGCTGCTTCTACCTGGGGCTTCCTGCCTGCCTAGCCCTTTGTCTGGAAGTCTGGGGCTTGGCTGGTGGTGAGATGAAGTGGGGTGGAGGTCAGCAGGGAGAAGATTTTGGGGATATTCCCTCCCTCCCCTCCTCAGGTGGATATTTCCATCCTTTTTTCTTCACTTCCTGGGGAGAGAGGACACAGTCTAGGAACTCTTCTCCTCCCCTTCTCTTCCTCATGTCTTTTATTTGGTGTGGTTTACTTTAATGGTAAATTGGTTTTTTGTTCTGGTTTCCATCAAAATCTGGTGAATGGAGAATTTCATCCATATACCTTCTTGTGGAACAGAAAAAGGGGAGTGTTCCTGAACCTGTAGATATCTCCAATTTACAGCCTGAAAAGAAGAGAGTTGTTTTAGTGTACACTTCTCTCATCATAAGGGATTTGTAACATTTTGTCCCAGGGCTATTGATAGCTTGGATTTCTTCCTTCGAAAACAGCCCTGTCCTTTGACCTGTTAGAGAATGGTTCTTAATGTTAGAAATTGCAATCAGTTCCTTCTGTATCTTCCACATGCAACAGACCTTAGAGATCTTTACTGCAAGGATATTTTTCCTCACTTAACTGTTACCTTTCTCTTTTTAACTACATTTGATCTGTTTGTGCAAAAGCATTTCAACTTTATGGAAGCAGAATCATCCACTTTATTTTCCGTGATTCTCTCTATTCTTTGTTCTGCCATAACCTCTTGCTCTCTCCATCAATGTGAAAAGTAATTTCCTCCTCACTCCTCTAATTTGCTATTGATTCCCTTTTTACACCTAGTTCATGTATTCGTTTGTAGTTTAATTTGATAGGTGGTAAGAGGTGTTGATGACCTATCAAATTTCTGACAAACTGCTTTTCCCTTATGCCGTCTTTTCTTTTTAACCAAATAGCATCTTCCCTCTCCCCCAGTCACTGCCTTTGAATTCATTAAACACTATTTTGTTTTATTTGTTGGCTTCTGTACATGGCATATCTGATCTTTTCCACCGATCAACTTTTCTATTTTTAAAAAGTTGAAATTGTGTTCTTGGCAGCTAGGTATTCTGCTGGGCCTGGAGTCCAGAGGAATCATCTCCTTGAGTTGAAATATGGTCTCTGACACTTATTAGCTGTGTGACCCTGGACGTGTCACTTCACCCTGTTTCCCTCAGGTTCTCATCTGTCAAGTGAGCCACAGAAGGAAATGTCAAACCACTAGAGTATCTTTGCCAGGAAAAGCCCAAATGAGATTAGCAAAAGTCAGACAGGATTAAACAACAACAACTGTTGTTTTCATAATGACAGCTCTGTAATATCGTTTGGATCTGCTACCGATAATCACTAACCTAAACCCTTTTCTTTCCTCCTTCCACCTCCTCCATTATTTCCCTTAACGTATTTGACCTCGTTCTGAATGTTTTTTATGTTTTGTATTTCTTATGTCACCAGGGTATCCCATGTATCCCTCCCTCTCCTTATCCTCAAGAGCCATGCCATGTAACAAATCATATTTCTTATTGTAGGGAGGAAAAGAAAAGTGAGTGCAACTGATTGATGCCGTTTAGAAAAGATGTTCAATGTGTAACACCTGTGAATCTCTCACCTATTGGATGGGGTAGGGTGATGGTGTCTTCTCACGTTTCCTTTTCAGTCCTACTTCATCTTTGAAATCTTGTTAGAAGTACTTTTAAATTTTTACTGTGTCATTCTTCCACTTCAGTTGTAGTTACCCAGTATATATACTGGATTTTTGGGTTGTTATTTTTTTGACTCTGCTTAATTCACTTTGCATCAGTTCACAAAGATTTTTCCATACTTCTCTGTATTCATCACACATATCATTCCTTCTTGCATGCGAACAGTATTCCATGCCTTTCATGTTCTTGTCTTGTTCCACGTCTTGTTTAGCCATTCCCCAGTTGATGGACATCTACTTTGTTTCCAAATCATAGCTATCACAAAAAGTGTTATTATAAGTATTTTAGAATATATTTGGACATTTTTTATTAGCGGCCTTATTGGGGTGTAATGCAGTCTTTGTTTTATAGGCTTTGGATATTTTCCTTTGCAGAATTGCAAATTACTTTTCAAAATGGATATGTCATTTCACAGCTCCTCCAGTAAGGTTTTAGTTTTTATATATCCCTACACTCTTATTTAGGTATCACAAACATGTTTGTGCCATAAAAGGCATTTGATAGGATTCCTTCCTTACCTCTTGGTTCCAGTAATTCATATAGTATTGGGAGGAAATTGTTTTGAAATGATTAGTAGAATTCACTTTCTTTTTTTTGTTTTTGATTTTTTTTTTTTGGCTACGTACTGGGGTTAAGTGACTTGCCCAGGGTCACACAGCTAATAAGTGTTATGTGTCTGAGGCCCGATTTCAACTCAGGTCGCCCTGAATCCAGGGCCGGTGCTCTATCCACTGCACCATCTAGGTGTCCCCTAGAATTCACTTTCACAGGTGATCTGGTCCTGGGAATTTTTTCCTAGGAAACTCATGCATGCCTTGTTAAATTTTCTTCCTTTAACATAGTTATTTATGTATTCTGTTTCCTCTTCTTTTAATTCGGGTAGCTTATGTTTTTCTAACTATTCATTCACGTCACATAGATTGTCAGTTTTACTGGCATATGATTGGGCAAGATAACTCGTTAGCATTGCTTTAATTTCATCATCATTGGTTATGGATTTACTCTTTCATTATTGAGACTGTTGTTCTTTTATAGGGTAATGATGACTAGAACTGGCTGATGGAACAGGCGGCATGTTAATTTGTTCTAAGGTTACTTTAGGGTAAGCAGTGGTAGGTATTGCATGGTTTTGTGGTCCATTATTTGTTAGGGGCTGGAGTGTGATTGGTCACTTCAGGGGTCTGGATACAAGATGTTGTCAAGGTGATTATGTGGATACAAGTAGTTGTCAAGGACATTCGTGGTCTAGACTGTGTCCTCACTAGTGTTTGCATCTCCACAGCCTAGCAGTGTACCTCTTAAGCATGAAGTACTAGAGAAATGCTGATTGATTAATTAGGCTACCTGTCCTTCTCTGTGCCCAGCACAAAGTAGGAGCTTAATGTATAGCTATAGAATGACTAAATTAGTGAGTTGTAGGCCTAAGTTAGAGTATTATTAATGATCATATTTATATCACTTATGTATAATTTTCATCACTTATTACTGTATTATTTTAACTATCATATCTAACTCATGTATTCCTTTATAATTTAGTTTGATACTTAGCGTGAGGTGCTAATCCTCTATAAAATTTCTCCCAAATTGCTTTCCACATATACCATCTCTTTGTTTGTTTTTTTCGTTTTTCCATCAAGTACAGGCCATTCTTGTTTTGTGTAAGTGGACCATTGGGCAGGCCTGTAAGTAGAAGGATTTTGAAGTAATGTGAATTTGCCCACAGACATGATTACGAGGGAGGGAGGGAGGGAGGGAGGGAGGCAGGAAGGGGGTCACCTGCCTGTGAAGGGAGTTGACCAGGAAACAGTTCAAGGACTCATGGGGGCTGGGGACAGAGAAGCAAGATCAGGAAGAAGATCACGCGGGTATTGGGGATAGCCATATGGTGGTCTGGCCAGAACTGAGAGGAAAAGCAAGTGGAGGACAAATATGTGATCGCTAGACATGGCTGCACACAGAAAAGGAGAGATAACACATGGACTGAAGAAAGACACGCAGTACCCCGAGAGGGAGTGGACAGAAGACTGACAGGGGGATGCCAGACCTGTGGATTAATGGAGCAGCCAAATTTTTCCTCTCTCAGTGCTGGAGGTCTCAAGCCAAGCCATGATCCTGAGGCTGCAGAGATGGAAGGAATCTCTCTGCACGTCCCAAACCCCTTTCTGTCCCCTGCCCACTTCTCCATGAATATGTTTTATGTACTTGACCTCATTTTAAAAATATTTTATTGATGTTTTCAGTATCTTACATGATGGAATCCCATGTATCCCTCCCTCTTCCTCTCCTCCTCCCTGAGAGCATTGCCTTGTGGCAAGTGGTATTTTTTGATTTAGGGAGCAAAAGCAGTCAACACAACTAAAATACTATACAGAGGAAAAGATACTTGCAGAAGGAGACAGTCTCTCTGAGAACATTCCAGTTACTACAGGCTTAATCTCTGGGGAAGCACATCTAGCCTCTGAACACTCAGTGGATGAAATACTGATATGTGGAGACACACAAGCTCTGAGAAGACTCAGAGGAAAAGATACTTGTGGCAAGAGACAGTCTTTCTGAGAACATTCCAGTTACTACAGGCTTACTCTCTGGGGAAGAACATCTAGCCTCTGAACACTCAGCAGACAAGACATTTGGGGCTGAAGACACACTCCCTGAGAACATTCTACTTACTACAGACTTGCTTTCTGGGGAAATATGAAAGAGAAATCATAAGCAACTCATTAAGGTTAAATTGTGTGCTTTCATATAAGGGAAGAGGATACACTTATCTTCTAAGAACGTTATCATTATTAGAGGAGGTAGAAGGATTCTACATAGAAGGTTTGAGAGTGAGCCACTTAGGTTGGCATGATGGAAAATAAATGGATAGGCAAATATTATGGATGCCCTGGGAGAAGGCAGAAAAGAGAGAAAGAATGAGGGACATAATCTCACATAAAACGGGTGTGCAAAAAAGAGGTTTCACCTCGCAGTGGAAAATGGTAGAGGCGGAGTAGCCAATGCTCGAACTTCAGTCACATCTAAATTGGTTTAATAGAGGAAAATACCTTTATCTATATTTATGTCTGTCCCTATATATACTTACTGAATTGGTCATAAATATCTAGCTTACCCGAGAGGTAAGTAAGAGAGTCTAAAAAAGAAAGAAAAAGTGGTGATAAAAGGGTCGACTGATAAAATAATGCAGTTGTCATATGCAAAACAGAAACTAGAGGAGAGACAGAATAAAAAGAAAGAGAGAAGGAGAAAACGAAGAAGGTAGGAAGAATGGAAATGCATAGTTAGTAATCCTAACTCTGTGAATTAGGTGAACTCACTCATAAAATGGAATCAGGTAACAAAATGGATTAGAAACCAGTATCCAAAAATATGTATGTTTGTTCCTTTGTTTTTTGTTTTTTGGTTTTTTTACAAGAAACATGCTTGAAACAAAGGAACTACAGAGTGAAAAAGGGGGTTGGAGAAGAAGCTGTTTACTTCAGATGAAGTAAAAACATGGAGGGGTAGCAATCATGATCTCAGACAAAGCAAAAGCAAAAATATCCCTATGAAAAGGAATTAGCAGGGAAACTACCTCTTGTTCAAAGGAATGACAGACAATGAAGTAATGTCAAAACTAAACGTATTTCGGAAATGGCATAGGATTCAAATTCTTAACAGAAAAATTAAGCAAATAACAGGAAGAAACAGACAGGAAAACTGTAGTAGTGGGGCACCTCAGTTTTTTCCTCTGAGAGCTAGATAAAGTGAATCACAAAATGAATAAGAAAGAAGTTAAGAAGAGTAAGAGAAGTTTAGAAAACCTAGATATGAAAGACCTATGGAGAAAACTGAATGGAAATACAAAGGAGTACAGACAGTTGGCGCTTTACATAAGTTTGCATTATGCAAATTGGACTTTATGGAAGGAATTCTATAAGCTAGCTGAATTCCAAGAAAGCACCTATGTCAACTTTATCATACTGTACTGGGATCTCTTTCTGCTCCTGCCCCTCAAGTTGGTGCTCTGTGGCCTCCTACCACACCATCCCCCCAAAAAGGAAAAGCTAAAAAATATCCTCCAAGTGAAAGGAGAAGAACAGACCTGCAGAGAGATGGCCACCACCACTGCCGGATCAAGGCTTGGCTTGAGACCTCCAGTGCTGAGAGAGCAGACCTACATTTTAGTCTGCCCACCCTCTTAAGAGTTTCATTTCTGTGTTTTGGTATTTTGTCCATCCACATTAAGGTAGTGCATGTCTGTTCCTGGTGTGCACCACATATGACCTGTCCTCTCCTGAATGTTTCCATGTGCGGCCCTCATGTATCTGTCTTGCCAGCCTGTTCTCCCTTTCAGTTCCAGCCAGGTCCTTATGTGGCTGGCCCCTGTGTCCAGCCCCCACGTGTCCTTGAATCATGTCCTGGCCCCTCCTCCAGGGAGGTGCAGTCCCCTTCCTAACTCCCTTCTGCCCTTTTCCACGTCCATGGGGTAATAAATTCATATTACATAAAGAGTCTGTGGACTGGTCTGCTTATGTTGTTGTTGTTATTATTATTTAGTGTTTATTTAGTGCTTTAGTTTTCCCCAATTACATGTGAAAACAATTTTTAACGTTCATTTTAAAACTTTTGAGTTCCAAATCCTCTCCCTTCCTCCCTCTCAACTCCCCACCCACTGAGCAGGCAAGCTATTTGATATAGCCTATAAATGTTTAGTCATGCAAAACATAGTTCTTTATTAGTCATGTTGTAAAAGAAAACATAAACCAAAAAAAAAACCCTAGAAAAGTAAACTTAAAAAGTTTGCTTTCATCTGTATTCAGACACTATCACTTCTTTCTCTGGGAATGGATAGCATTTTTCACCCCAAGTCCTTCAGAGTTGTGTTGAATCTTTATATTGCTGAAAATAGCTAAGTCGATCACAGCTGATCATGTTATAATATTGCTATTACTGTGTACCAGGTTCTCTTGGTTCTACTCACTTCATTTTCCATTAGTTCATGTGAATTTTCCTAGGATTCTCTTAGACCATCCTGATCATCATTTCTTATAGAGTTATAGCATTCTATCACAATTATATACCACAACTTATTCAACCATTCCCCAGTTGAAGCACATCTCTTTAATTTCCAGTTATTTGCCACAAGAAAAAGAGCTGTTATAAATAGTTTCGCACGTATATGTCTGTCCCCCCCCTTTTTTATAAATTTCTTTTAGGTTACAGACCTGTTGGTTGTATTGCTACGTCAAAGGGTATGCATAGTTCCAAATTGCTCTACAGAACGCTTGAAGCATTTCAATAGTCCACCAATAGCGCATTAGTGTCTCATTTTTCACACATTCCCTACAGCATTTGTCATTTTCTTTGTCTATCCTCTTACCCAATACCTATGAGGTAGTACCTCAGAATTGTTTTAATTTGCATTTCTCCAATGCAGAGTGATTTAGAGCATTTTTTCATATGCCTATAGATAGCTTTGATTACTTCATCTGAAAACTGATTGACTGATCATATCTTTTGATTATTTATCTGGTGAGGAATGGCTCTTATTTCTATAAATTTGACTCACTTCCCTATATATTTGAGAAATGAGGCTTTTATCAGAGGAATTTGGCTTCAAGAATTTTTTTTTTACCAGTTATGATAGCTAACTGTATTTCCCTCAATCCTGTTCTCCCCCTTGTTTATTCTATTCTCTCTCTCCTTTCACCACTTTCCTCCTTAAAAGGTGTTTTGCTTCTGACAACCACCTCACCCAATCTGTCCTTCCTTCTATCACCCCTCCTTCTCCTCTACCTTTCCCATCCTACATTTCTGTAGAGTAAGATACATTTCTGGACCCTTTGTGTGTGTGTGTGTGTGTGTGTGTGTGTGCGTGTGTGTGTGTGTGTGTGTTATTCACTCTCTGAGGCATTTCTGGTGAGACTAAGGTAAAAGTGTTCCCTGCCACCTCCTCTCTCCTCCCCTCCACTGTAAAATCGCTTTCTTGCCTATTTATGTCAGATAATTTACCCCATTCTACCTCTTACTTTCCCATTCTCAGTGCACAATGCCTGGCAGAGAGCAGACACTGTAAATGTTAACTATCATTATTAGTTCTTTAATTAGAAGTGACCAGTATACAGTGCCAATGGTGATGAGATGCCCGATTTTCTGTGTAAATTAATTTGGAAATGCATTAAACAGGATTGAAGTCACCTGACTGGTACTGGGTGTGTTTCAAGTTTCAAATACATACTAATGGTTCAAAAGGGTAAACTTTTCTATCAGGTATGTCAAGAAACTTTTCATAATTTGGATGTTATGAAAGCAACATCTGAAAGAAAGTGAAAATGGAAAAATTGTTTAAAACACTTATGTTATTTTATCAGCCCTGCTAAACCTGTCTTCCAATGTTTTGTAACTGCCATTTGGAGACCTGGATATTTCTACCTTTGCCTCTAGTTAAGAGGAAGTTATAGCTAAAACAATTTGGCTATCACTTATAAAGGTTGTAGATTGTTAACTAAGTTATTTGAGGATATTGTTTTAATGTTAAAACCTAAAACTGGTCATTGATTACTGTGTGTGGAAAGGAGGGGATGAGGTAAAAGCCTTATCCAGATTAGTTCTGCCCATTCAGAGCAGTCCTCCTTGGGGTATGAGGGTGGGCAGCCACGTTAGTCTATTCTACCTTAGGAGGTGGTGATGGTGGTGTCAAAGTGAGCAGCCCATAGCAGCTCTAAGGGTATATGGAGTGGAAACCCCTTCCTCTCCTCCCTTAGTAAGATGGCCAAGGTTGCCTCTGACGTAGGGCTATAAAGGGTGGTCAGAAGCCCGGTGTGCAAGTTACCATATACTGGGGTCCAAAAAAATAAACAAACTATGTCAGTATGGTAGATAGTGGTGCGGAATATATGATGCTGTATGGGAACCCTGAAAGCCATCCTGGCTAGTGGGTAGCCATAGAAGGATAGAGGGGAAATTCCGTCAGTGAAAAACAAACTAAATTAACACAGAAAATAGTGGCCTTGCCAGAGTATGTGGCAGTCTGGAGGAAGAATACATCATGGGGTGGGCAGGCAGGAGCATCAGGATCAGCCCCTCCTCTGGGGTCCTTGTCAAGTCCCCTTATTTTGTAAACTTGCCAGGTTCCTGGAAATCATCTGTGTGAGGAAGATTATCAGCCCTGGGAAAAGAGCTTCTTTGGATTATGGAGTTCCCAAACAACAAACTTGCTTGCTGAGGATGTGCAAGTTCATATATTATATAGAAATGATTTCTAATGACTGGTTTTTACACCAGGACAAATTTAAATTTGAGACAAAAAGAAAACAAGTGAAAGATGTTAAGTGAAATCTCTTATGTATGTGAGTCCTGGTAAATTTTTGTTTCTTATTGCAACTACAAGAGAGTAAAAATAATTGTATCTAGCCCTAAGCTGTGATTACTGAAACTTGCCATTTGAGGTCAAAGCTCTTGGGCGTATAACTGATTGTATTTTGAGGTTTGAATTTAGGTATAGTTGTCTGATGAATCGTTCAGTCAGTAATCCACCATTTGAGAGAAATGCCACAAGCTACTCAGAGGGAATGTAATCTTGCACAGGTGGAGATCTGTCTCTGGGAAAAAGTTGAGAGGACAACCTTGGCAGCAACCTAAGGTGGGATCCTCCTGGCTCAGTTTCCTTATTGTGTTCCTTTGAATAGCAATGTTTCCCACTTGGCTATTGCTACATCTGCTGGTGAGGTAGAATTATTACTACGTGGTTAGTTATTAAACTGTGACTCTTTCTCGAAATCAAACAAAGCTAAGGATGCTTTATCCTGTCATATATGTGTCTTTAGGCTTAAGCCTGAAGGACTAGTTTGTTGCTGTTATAATCATTTAACTGCTGGTGAGGTAGAATTATTACTACGTGGTTAGTTATTAAACTGTGACTCTTGCCTGAAATCAAACAAAGCTAAGGATGCTTTATCCTGTCATATATGTGTCTTTAGGCTTAAGCCTGAAGGACTAGTTTGTTGCTGTTATAATCATTTACCTGCTTTTTCCTTTTATATCAAATTCTTATAGTCAGAGCCAGTGGTCAGTAAAAGATATGAGCACAATACAAGTATGTGAGATCTTAGTGTTTTCAATCTGAATGTGTAGTCATTCCACATCCCAAACAACAAGGTAAATTAGTACTCGGGCATGTCATCTGCCTGCCTGCATAGTCATGTGAAAGATGAAGTCCCTGAAATAACTTATCCTTTCTGAATAATGTGGGAATAATTAGGCACAGACAAAAAAAAAGTCTGTGAAAGAAAGATATGATTTATTAACTTGTTGGGTGAAAATCAGAAACATCTTGATTTGGGGAAGAGAATTTCAGTCAATCAGTTTTCTTAAAGGGGTGTAACTCCCTTTTTCATGTTACATTAATGGAAAAGTCAATTTCATTCAAGTTATTACTAATGTGTACAAGCACATTTTATTATAAACAATTTATTGATGCACTACCTTGGAATTAATTATTTAAGTATTCTCCCAAGTCTTTAATTTTAATTGGAGTAAAGTCAGCTTCTTATAAGTAAATTTGTTTGTATCACTGTTGTTCTCAGGGGCAGAAAGCCTGCAAGAATGTTGTTGCTTATATTTTCATGTATAGGATTGAATCCTCAATAGCATCTGATCCTCCTAAATGAATTGGAATCAGAGTGAAAACTTTTGAGAAAGTAACAAAATCAGACAATCCTCTATGTCAAATGTAAATGATTCTAATGGGGCAGGTGAAACTAAATTTTCTGAAGCTTCAGGCAAACTCTGGGTTCCTACTTTGATGCTCCCTTGTTAAGAGCAGAACTCAAGGTTTCAACTGGTTTTTACAATATGAACTCATTACTGGAGAAGTAAAATTTGAGAGGCTATACTAACTTGTATTGAGATCTGTTCTGTAAAAGATTTTAGCAGGAACATCTAAGAAGTCTCTACAAGTCACTTGGAACCAGAAAAAAAACAATTCCACTGAAGAGCTGCCCCTGAGGACAAAATATTTTCCAGATTGCCCGAAAAAAAGATGTTCCAGAGACCATACAACTACATGGGACGTCTGGATTCCAAGATGAAATTTGTTAATGAAATGGACGTTGGGGGTGGGTTGGTGATAATCATTGTACACGCCTCCACTTGAGAAAAAGGGGAAACTGAGAAAATGAAATTGTTCTGTTCCCATTTTGAAATTGATTCAATTCTCTGTCACTCCCCGATATGTTGTAAAACTGCCCAAGGCATGTTTATTTGTCTCTGAACCTAGTTCAGAAACTCAGATCTCCCATTAATCCCCAAATGCCATTGGTTCTTCCTTCACCTCCCCAGGGGTGGGATGGAATATAATTATAACAATTGTGGTCATTTTTTCATTGGCCATGTTATTTTCATATCTGTGCTTATATTGCCCTGTGGTTTATGCTTACAAATGGGACCATCCCAACTGTACCGCAAAGGCCCTAAACACCCTAGTATAGAGCCACCCCAGGGACCTTTGAAT